TACCGGGCCAAGACAACCCCGGGAAACGGCCCGTTGTGACCACGTACGCGGGCCCTAAATTTGGGTACAAGCGCATACGTATGCAACACGTATGCACGTATGCGGAGCCCGCGTACGTCACGGTGTACGTCGTGCTACCCAGAATCAGAGCAATATTAGGAAAAAGTGTTGCACTTTGCATTAACTCTTCGATCTGGGATTTCGTCTCTCTCTCTCTTTCTCTCTCCAACTTCACTTGATTTCTTGTGCTAGTTCTTTCTCGATTACATAAAATGCACAACTTTTGTATTTCATCTCTTCACAGAGGTAGTGACACGTTAAAGAACAGAGAAGAATAGATGAATTGAACCAGCACATTTGACTGCATTGGACAATAGAGACATTGTTGTTCATAGTACTTAGTAGCAAATGTCATTTATAACATTGTTTTAAACTGGTGCGGCCTTTAGTAATGAAGATTAGCAGTTGCCGCTCCTCCACACGTTGCATTTACTCTAAGGCATTGAATTTCGTAGTTCTTTTCTTTCTCTCTCTCTCTCTCTCTCTCTCTCTCTCTCTCTCTCTCTCTCTCTCTCTCTCTCTCTCTTGGACTTCACTTAGTTTCTTGTACAAGTTCTATCTTGATTGCATAAAATGCACAAACCGTGTACTCCATCTCTACAAGTGAAGCTGACTTGTGGATCATGAAACATCAACGAGGCAAAAACTCGTTAAGAGTTTTCAATTGATGCGAGAGGAGACATACCTGCCATATAGATACATAATAAATGGAAAACAAATATATGAATATTAGTCCGTAGTAGGATAAATTATTCAAATGCGAGGGTACGAAAGCAAAGTGCCGACAAAGAATAAAAATTGAAAGTGATACGTAAAAAAATGAGTGACGAGTTGTCTGTGATCACCATTTATGCAATGGTTCAGAATTAGAACAATATCAAGAAAAACTGTTGCACTTGCTGAAGTGAAGATGAACCCTACAAAATAAGCCCTAACCTTGGTGTAACCCAATGTCAGCAGAAATGCTGCCATGGTTTTGTGATGCAGAGACAATATCATTATCTAATAGTCAGGTTCAACGTCTGGGTTAGAAATCGTACCATCCGAAAACAGGTTGAAACACCGACTAGGAACAATGATTTTCAATGAAATATGTATTCCCCATCATATGAAAAGAGATGAGAAAGGACTAATGAATAGTAAGAAATTAGTACAAGTGAAACAATCAACAACTAAGGCAAAACATAAAATCATTATGGAACAAGTACTTCAATAGGAAAATAACAATCAAACTCGCTAAAGTATTACTCAGCAAGGACCCCCCCCACACCTTTAAGGTTTCAAACGTTTTTTGGTTGTTTGCCTGTTTGGTTCGTTGTCTGGTTGCCTTAGCATATCAGGCCTCATCAACTCGTAAAGGTGGGAAGGGAGAACAGACGGTGGTCGATTGATGTGTGTGGCCTTCTACCATGTTAAAGCAATTTATTAGAAGTGAAGTTATGGAGGAATGCGTAGAACAGTATCGAAAGGGGAGGCGCCAAAAGCCAATAAGACTTCATGTGAGTGGATGGGAGTGATATGTAGAGAGGACGCAATGTTGAGAATAGTTGTTAACCTTGACATGGTGCCACCAATGTTTCAGTGCTAGTTGAACTTTGCTAAATTTTTGTTGAAGCCCCGATGGGTGTGTTGGATCTTTCAGCATGTTTTTTTTTTATTTTGAGTGTTGTGTGGGATATTTTCATCTCTCTCTCTCATGCACACACAATAACACGGAATCGAGTAAATTCTAAAAATCCCAACACGAGACTGTCTAAATCCTGAAATCCCGAAGTGTATTTCGGTAACGAAAT